GATCCTCATAAAAACTCTACAGCATTTAGTAACTTACCACCTATTCCATATACTTGCAACATCTGCCACATTGCTCCCCTATCTACTCTATCACATGCCTTTTCTAAATCCATAAATGCAATAAAAACTTCCCTACCTTTATCTAAATACTGTACACATATATGCTTCAATGTAAACACTTGATCTACACATCCCCTACCCACTCTGAAACCTCCTTGCTCATCCGCAATCCTACATTCTGTCTTACCTCTAATTCTTTCAATTATAACCCTACCATACACTTTTCCTGGTATACTCAGTAAACTTATTCCTCTATAATTTTTACAATCTCTTTTGTCCCCCTTCCCTTTATATAAAGGGACTATACATGCTCTCTGCCAATCCCTAGGTACCTTCCCCCCTTTCATACATTTATTAAACAAAAATACCAACAACTGTATATAATGTATATATATACTGTATATATATACTGTATATATATATACTGTATATATATATACTGTATATAATATACACTCACTGTACTGAACACAATAACTGCACTAAAGTTATTATTATAATATTGTTTACCACTTTTGTTTACTACAATAAACATGCACAAATGTTGTATATATTTACATATGTATAGTCACTGGACATGTTTTTAGAACTGCTGCAGCTTGTGGAAGTCCTTGAAACAAGGTATCATGCAGAGGTACCTCACATTCCTCGCACATAAACCGAGTGTCTTTGCGTCTTTGTTGCCGTCGTTTTGTTTGTGCACAGACAACACATCTCTTCTGAGCAAATTTCTTCTTAGTTGCAGGAAGCTGTATTATGAAGTGATCACCTTCCCTCCTCAAACGCTTGGGTATTTCCTGAGGAGTTCGAGGACGGTTTTGTACAGCAGGTGTTGTTACCTGGTACTTCATTATGAGTTGTCTGACAACAGACAAACAAAATTCACCATACTGTGGTCTGTTGCCAGTCTTCAATTGGTACATATTATATGCATTGAGCATTGAAATGTTCATGAGATGGAAGAAAAGTTTCATGTACCACTTGTAACTCTTATGAACACAATCAACAAAGCCAATCTGCATGTCATATTTGTCAACCAAGCGCATGTTTTGTGCATAATCAATCACTGTCACTGGTTTTCGAATACGTTCGTTAGTCACTCTGTCAACTTTGCCACTGTCTTGCATTTCGTTACGGTGAATGGTTGTCAACAATGTTTCATCTTGTTTGTCATGCCACCGTAATGCCATGATGTCATTGGCAGTAAACACCTGCACCTCACCTTTACAAGTGCCTGCGTTGAACCTGGGCATATGTTTACAATTAGAACGCACTGTGCCACACATATCTATCATGTTCACTCACAAGAAATCACCGAGTAAAGGGCTTGTGTACCAGTTATCAGTATATAATGTATGCCCCTTACCGAGATAAGGTGCCATCATGCTTCTCACTACGTCACCTCAGATACAAAATAGCATCCTGGTATCTTTCAATGTTTTACTTCCCATGTATACAATAATATCCAATACCAGGCCACTGTCACAGTCACAGAGTACAAACAGTTTTATACCACAGCGTTTCCTCTTGCTCAGTATATACTGCTTGAATGACAGCCTACCTTTGAACAAAATCAAAGACTCGTCAATTACAAGATTCTTGAATGGATAAAAGTACATGTTGAACTTTTGTTTCAGATACATAAAAACATTTCTAATCTTGTATAACCTGTCACTTCAGTTCACTGGGATGATTTCACTGAAGGCCGGGGTACAAATTAGCCAATCTGTGGACCAGTATGATTTTATATTATGCTTATAGACACGAGGCATAAGCATTATTGTTGCAAAAAGCAAATACATTTCAGCAACAGTTGTCTCTTTCCACCAGTGTAGTCTTGACTGTGGTGATATGATCGTATTTGCCATGGTGTACTCAAAATACTTGTTACTTTCCCTGACAATAGTTTCCATCAAGGGCTGGTCAAAGAATAGTTCAAAGAATTCCAGTTCATTTGCAGTGTTTCCAAGGGGACAAGTTGGCAGAATTCCACTTTGAGAGTCATCAAACTGGTGGGGCTTGGGAACAAAATTGGGATTTTGCTGCCAATCCCAGATACAGTTTGTTGGTGCATACTGGACATCATAACTGGTTGTGGTGGTAGTTGTAGTTGTGGTGGGGTGGTGGCTGACGCTCCGCTTTGTCCTTGAGCTGAGGAGTCAGCGGCATGGGTCCCAGCCTGGGCTGGTGAGTCATGCATGGCCGTGGCACTACCATCACCACTACCACCATCACCACCAATACCACCACCTACTGATGCCTGTGGTCTATCCATGCCAAGTGCAGCCACATCATCCTCACTTTCACTGTCTATTCCTGGTGTAGGGCCATGGGATGTACTCCAGGATGTACTCCGTCCCCTGGGCACTGCATAGGGAACACTACCCGAGCACATGCAGTGGCATATATACCGACGCTTCACTGGTGAATATGATTCCTCACTATCACTACTCGAATGATCGTCAAGAGCAATAAAATCACAATCCACATCACTATCATCATCATTACTGAAGTATGAGGCCTGGCCACGCGAAAATATTAGTTTTCCCTTGCGACGAGGTACAACTGAACGTGACTGAGACATGCCCACACCAGAGGTAGAAGGTTGAGAATCATCAGGATTTTCTGCACTATTTTCGATATCCTGGTCATTCCTTTCAGTCACTAATTGATCAAAGCCATAGAATTCGTCTTCATTTCCACTTCCATCAGAGCAGAACTATCAGATAGGAAGAGGAGAGTCCCAATTCGCCTTGGAGTGAGAGCTGCCTTGCGACAAGGCATGGTGAACAAAGGTAACTAAGGCGGCGTTCCCACAATGCTATGCGGGCGCCTAGAATTTTTGTTTATCGCGCACATGCACCACACAGACCCGTTCTCTCACATGTAGGCCTACCAACCTCCTCGCGCTAAATTTGACGCCGCTAGAATTTTGGCGTAGATCTATGGTTTGGACCCTCAACGTATAGCCATAGATCTACAGCATGGACCCCCAAAGGGTTAAAGAAAATATGTTATAGTAATTACAGGGACTCCCTACGTATGAAACATTCATGTTGCAAACATTCGATAAGATTAACAATTTTGCAGGAAGCACTGAAATGTAAACAATACATAGTAGGTTACTCTAGCAGCATCGTTCATACATTTGCTTGTGCTCTCTCCACAAATTTAGTGTTATTTGTGATTATTATACACCCAATATGTCTGGTTTTAAGCACAAAAGCAGTGTTGATGTAGGTGGTAGTGCTAAGAAGTGCCAAGCCATCACAATGGAAACAAGTGGACATAATAATGTATTTTTTAACTTTTCCTGTGTTCACATGTATGTTTAAAATATGTACATTTCTAGGGTAGTCAATGTTCATACATACATACGTTGGACTTATGAACAAATGGACTTAGGAATGACCACTCGAAACCAAACCTGTTCATAAGTAGGGGAGTACAGTGGACCCCTGGTTCGTGATGCTATTGGTATCCGATAAATCCGGTAACCGATGCATTATATCGCCAAAAATTTGCCTCGGTTCCCGTTACAAAACCCGGTATGCAATGCGCTTCGTACGAGATGTGTCCACGTGTGGCCTGAACTTCCCCATGTGTACCAATGTTTACAAGCCAGCCAGTGTGCGCGCATCTAAGGATACATTCGGTACATTCCATATTATCCATATTATTACTGTTTTTGGTGCTTGTTTCTGCAAAATAAGCCACCATGGGCCCCAAGAAAGCTTCTATTGCCAACCCTTCGAGACCAAGGGTGCTAATGACTATTGAAATGAAGAAAGAGATAATTGCAAAGTACGAAAGTGGAGTGCGTGTGTCGGAGCTGGTCAGGTTGTGTAGTAAACCCCAATCAACCATCTCTACTATAGTGAGCATGAAAACAGCAATCAAGGAAGCTGTTCTTGCAAAAGGTGCAACTGTGATTACGAAACAGCGACCGCAAGTGTTAGAAAATGTTGAGAGACTGTTATTGGTGTGGATAAATGAAAAACAGATAGCAGGAGATAGCATCTCTCAAACGATCATTTGTGAAAAGGCTAGGCAGTTGCATGACGATTTGGTAAAGAAAAATTTGCCTGCAACTAGTGGTGATGTGAATTTAAGGCCAGCAAAGGTTGGTTTGAAAGATTTAAGAATTGTAGTGGCATACATAGTGTGATTAGGCATGGTGAGGCTGCCAGTTCAGACCACAAAGCGGCTGAAAAATATGTGCATGAATTTAAGGAATACATAGGGGCTGAAGGATTGAAACCTGAACAAGTGTTTAATTGTGATGAAACAGGCCTGTTTTGGAAGAAATTGCCAAGCAGGACCTACATTACTCAGGAGGAAAAGCTACCTCAAGTCCTAATGGAGGGGGATTTCCCTTCTAAATAGGTTCAACACTCTCCCCTCCTCCCATCCCATCAATCATCACCAGATCTTCATTAAAGGTAAGTGTCAATTATTCTATTGTTATTGTTGTTATTATAATTATTCTATTGCATTAAACTTAATATTTCATGTGGTAAAAGTTTTTTTTTTTCATACTTTTGGGTGTCTTGCACGGATTAATTTGATTTCCATTATTTCTTATGGGGAAAATTGATTCGCTTTCCGATAATTTTGGTTTACGATGAGCTCTCAGGAACGGATTAATATCGCGAACCGGGGGTCCACTATATCTGTATTGTCGTACACTCCTTTACACCCACCAGGCTATCACACATCACAGTTATGTTAATTTGTTTTGCTACGATTGTACATATATATTTCATTCATGTGATATGTAGCATGTTTCTTAAGTTTGAAAAAAAAATTCATAGATGGATTAATGAAAATGTCTATAATAATGTAATATACAACATTTAAAGTGCCCCAGAGTGATTATTATTATTTTGTTTATTGCATCTTCAACACTAGGAGACACTCTTAGTAACTCCTTTGCCTGACATAGCTACTCCTACTCTGTAACAATGCCAAATAGTAATTTTAATGTACCTGCAAGCCAACACAGTAGTAAGTTTATTTAGGTACAGGTACACGTAAGTACAATTATCAGTAGTATCTCAATACAATCTCAGCCATAGACATACCTTGCTGAATTTAATAATTTCTAACTTTGCACTTTAAGTAAAAGACTTACAAGTCCTCTTTTTATCACAACTACCCTTAGATGTCACTGGAACACAAAAAGGAGTATACATATACAGTGGACCCCCGCATAACGATTACCTCCGAATGTGACCAATTATGTAAGTGTATTTATGTAAGTGCATTTGTACGTGTATGTTTGGGGGTCTGAAATGGACTAATCTACTTCACAATATTTCTTATGGGAACAAATTCGGTCAGTACTGGCACCTGAACATACTTCTGGAGTGAAAAAAATATCGTTAACCGGGGGTCCACTGTATAAAATAAGCAATAACTTTAAAACACTTGAAACTTTGGAAAGTTTCCAGACATAATTGGGAGAGAAGCTAAGCTTAAGGAAAATGTAAACAGAGAGTGAACAGGTGATGCACAGATGCTGTAATAGCAAATCAGGAGCAGTATAAATGAATTTTGGGGTATAATTTGAAATGTCTGTATTAGAGAATCACCGTAACGTGAAGCATCATAAAGTGGGGCCTTCTTATAACCAAGAATAATTGATCATGGTTTAGGCCATCCCAATATTTGAAGCAGAGCTAGTAAAAAAACATAAAACAGACTGGGGGAGAGGAAGTATGGGGCCTTAGCTTTCCTCAGGAAAAATTGCAAAAAATCAAATATTTCTGCTATCTCGAGTCTGAAACCAACCAAAATCATCTTCAGTTCACTAGTATGCCTTCCATTCCATTATTTGATAGCAAGAAATAGCCAATAAAACCATAAAAATTATCCTAGAAAACACCTTAGGGTAGCTATTTAAATTCTAACACAAGGTGAAAGGTTTTAAACTTAACACACAGTGAGAGGTTTTAAACTTAACATAAAGTAAGAGGTTTGTTTTCCCCATCATGCACTGTGTGGGGCACAATTTTTTAATACTATGCCCACCCACTGCACAGACCTATTCCCTCAAGTCCAATTTAAATTTTACCACTCACAGCATATTTGAGTGCTGTGCTTAAAATGTAATTCTATGTGAATAACAAGAAGGCACAATACCATGACTAGAATGATAAACAAATAACCCGCACGTAGGAGAGGGGAGCTTGTGACAATGTTTCAGTTCGACCTGGATCACTTACAAAGTCACACTTTCTGTTAGTGCGACTTTGTTACGGTTCAAGTCAGACCGAAACGTCGTCATAAACTCCCATCTCATATGTGTGGGTTATCTGTGCATAATTCTGTGACACTGGCATCAATAATGTAGATATATTTGAGAGACAGTGAAAGGGTTCATTCAAAAGAGCAGAAGAGGGGGTTGTTGAAGGGGTTTGGTCATGTAGGAAGCATAAAGCAAGAGAGGTTAATCAGGATAGTACATATATAAATCAGGAGGATGTGAAACAGGTACATTACATTACATTCAGCATCCATGTACAAGTATGATAGATCAAAGTAAGTGAAGAAGAGTGTTCTTTGTCACTAAACATACTGGTGGAGGGAATTCTGTGTTATGTATTAGCTGGACTTGAGAGTTTTGGAGGTGGAAAATATGGTGACTGTACTTCTCAGTTCAGTGGGTCTTCGGTGGGCCATGATGCTTGTGCTATTCTTGAAAGACTGCTAGGAAACAAATGGCCCATTTAAAAAAAAAAAATATTTTGCTTTATTTACTCACCTCACTTTGAACATTATACACGTATTCAGCAGGGATGTACTTGCGTAATCGTGTGTAAGAGCTACCACGGGTTAGAACCACTCTCTTCTCTCTCTCATAATACTTAATGCAATGATCACAACTCTTGCCAGTGTCTAATACTTCTGTATCAATCCCACAAGAACGAAGTTGCTTTGCTAAACCCTACAGAGAAAATGGTGTTTATTAAATCTAGATTGCAATACAATCTCACTCTGATATTAGGAATATAATGTATGTCAAATTACAAAGCATAGCAATTAAAGATAAAAAGCAGCACTTGGTGCAATATTTTTAAGCAACATAAACAAGCATAAGAGATACAAACCTGTACCATGGTATCACAAACAAATTTAATGTCTGCTGCACAATTTGGGCCCTTCATTTTCACATCCTTTAATTCAGCATTGGCTTGATTGGCATCAGACTGTTTTAGGGACTTCTTTTTCTTTTCTGGTTTAATTATAACATTACTCTTTATATTTTTCCAGTCTGCAATATGAAGATCTTGAGCATGATTACTCAAATATGTATGAGTATCAATGAGACATCTGGCATCGATGGCAGCATACATGATTTGTGATTTAGTAAGAGGTCTTGCAGCCCAATTTGAAAACTGCTCTCTCTTATCAAGTGGTAACCCAAAACACCGATATACCAATTCACTTAATCCCTTATGTGATAAACCAGAATCACTGTGGGAAAAAATATTAGGATATTCTTTCAGAAGTATTCCTTTAGTGTGATCCAAGTCAATAACATTTTTAGCACTAGACAATCCCTTTTTTATTTCTGCATTAAGATTATCAAGAACTCTGAAATCTCCCCTAATACCATATCCAAGTTTTGTAACCTGGGGATCTGAAAACAACTCACCAATAGGCCGCCAGTGACAGTCTTTCAGTACTGGCTGGAGTGATATGAGATCCAACAGAAATACCTGTGTAGTTGTGGCTAACTGTAGCAGTGCTGCTTGTTCTTGAGCTCCAACTCCAAATGTTGGTTTCCATTCAGAATCCACACCCAACAGTGGACTGGTTAACAAATCATTGGTACATTTCTCTAAGCCATCAACTGTGTCAATGAGAAAAACTTTCTCAAACGGTATACTGAGTGGGTAAAATTCTTCACTACTTTCATCCCACATTTCTTCTTCTTGAGTATGTTTGAGGTTATGGTCCTGGTGCTGGTTCTGATTTAAAAGCTCTGGGAAATGCAACATTGTATCTTTTATCTTCTTTGGAATATCTTGTGATGCAAGCTGCAGTTTAGCTACATACGGTAAAGCTGCTGCTAGATCACAGTATTCAATGAAAAGGTGCATCAAGGTAATTTTAAGGTATGGATGCTCTTTTAATGCATCATCCACTAAGCTGCAAAATGTCTGCTTCTGAATAGTTTTCTCCACATAATATTTATAAAATAAAAAACGTAATCCTCCTGTAGCTCGGTGTTTCTGGAAGTGAGGACAAACCGAAGGATCAACTGTAAACCTTTTCAGCAGTCTAGCAACAATATTACACAATTGTTTACTGGATCTCATTTTCTTCAGATCTTTAACATTGTATTTTTCCAAATCTACACTTGTTATTTTCTTTCCAATCAGGTTATCAATAAAGATCAAAATTTCTTTCTTATGGGAGGGGCTCGTTTCCAGAAAATCATCTGCTAATGATAAGCGATCTTGAAGGAACAAGGGTACAATCAGCTCAGCTGTAGAAAATTCTGGCTGGAGGCTGAGGAGAGTAGCTAGTGTGCACACCTCTTTGAGATGACCTTTGTCTTGTAAGTCCTTTACAAAAGGAAGAAGATGCTCTCGTATGTTTACCAACTGGTAAACCTTTACCATGAGTTTTAACAAGCCGGAGTTTTTTTGTCTAATTGCAACTTGGAATGCTTCTTTTTGTAGCTCTTGACTTAAACATGACTCAAATTTATCTTTGTTATCTTCCTGATTTATAAAATGTTGAAGTTCTACAAGTATATTTGCTGCCATTGAATTTGTTTTACACTTATACAAGTTGGGGGACAGCTTAACACCCACTAAACTCATTTTATAAGGATTGGCAGAAGCTGCCAGATTCTTCTGCATTTCAATCTTGAATTCATCTTTTTTATCTTTAAAGAGGGGTTGTATTTTTAAGAAACACCCAGTGTAATTTTCCAATGTGTTTAGATCAATGACTTGCATATTCCTAGAAAGAAAGAGAGATATTTAACTTATACACTGTGGTATGACTATAGTATATTTACAATGAGTGTAGCTATCAATGTAACTAAAAATGCATTGTATACTAGTGACTTTCTTTTTTGCCTAACAATGTTTTATTACATGTAAACTACATTATTTGTGTAATGCATAAAAAAAGAAATAAAAACTGGAATTTAAATTTTGAATCTGAATGCTGCATAGGCACCATACAATAACTTTGATTATTTTTAGATTAAGCAATCAACAGCAATCTGGAGTTAGATTAGGGGGCTCACCTTGGGATTCCACACATACAGTATCATGTTAAATCAATCATCTAACTGGTAAATGGACTCAAATTTGATTTACGCCTACTTAATACTGATTGATTAGTTGCCATCACCTCACATATATATATGTTGTGCCAAATTTATTTATTTATTTATTTATTATTATTTGGACATGATACATAGTAGTACATATGTACAAAGAAATGCAGTGGTTGGGTGTACATGCCAAAAGCCCCTTGTACAATGCAGAGCATTGTGGGCAGGCTGAAAATTAACTTAAGATTAACTGGAGATTTTGGCTTTAATAGCAATGCCGAATAAGGCAAGTTAAAATTTGTGCATGCAATAATTTCACAAAAATCATTCTGAACCTAACAAAAAAATATATTTTGTTGTGTTTGTTTATTATTAAATTATTGTAAACTTATCTAAATTATATTTAGTTGAATTAGGCTAAATTAAACTGCGCTTGTTATAATAAGGTTAGGTAAGTATCCTAAGGTTCTTTTGGTACAAAATTATTAATTTTCACATTAACATAAATGAAAAAAAATCTTTAAATGTATAAGAGAAAATTTTATAGAGGACTTAATTTTAAACGAGTTCTTGCTAATTGACCAGTTTTACTTATTCGGCATGACATTATATATATATATATATATATATATATATATATATATATATATATATATATATATATATATATATATATATAGTAGGTTGGTCCTAGGTAGTAGGTTGGTAGACAGCAACCGCCCAGGGAGGTACTACCGTTCTGCCAAGTGATTGTGAAACAAAAATCTGTAATTGTTTTACATGATGATAGGATTGCTGGTGTCTTTTGTCTGTCTCATAAACATGCAAGATTTCAGGTACGTTTTGCTACTTCTACTTACACTTAGGTCACACTACATATACATGTACAAGCATATATATATATATATATATATATATATATATATATATATTATATATATATATATATATATATATATATTATTACAGTGGACCCCCGGTTAACGATATTTTTTCACTCCAGAAGTATGTTCAGGTACCAGTACTGACCGAATTTGTTCCCATAAGGAATATTGTGAAGTAGATTAGTCCATTTCAGACCCCCAAACATACACGTACAAACGGACTTACATAAATACACTTACATAATTGGTCGCATTCGGAGGTAATCGTTATGCGGGGGTCCACTGTATATATATATATATATATATATATATATATATATAATATATATATATATATATATATATATATATATATAATATATATATATTATATATATATATATATATATATATATATATTTTATGAAAATAAGAAAAAATTTTGGAGTGAGTTAAACAAGTTAAGAAAGCCTAGGGAAAGTATGGATTTGTCAGTTAAAAACAGAGTAGGGGAGTTAGTAGATGGGGAGAGGGAGGTATTAGGTAGATGGCGAGAATATTTTGAGGAACTTTTAAATGTTAAGGAAGAAAGAGAGGCGGTAATTTCATGCACTGGCCAGGGAGGTATACCATCTTTTAGGAGTGAAGAAGAGCAGAATGTAAGTGTGGTGGAGGTACATGAGGCATTACGTAGAATGAAAGGGGGTAAAGCAGCTGGAACTGATGGGATCATGACAGAAATGTTAAAAGCAGGGGGGGATATAGTGTTGGAGTGGTTGGTACTTTTGTTTAATAAATGTATGAAAGAGGGGAAGGTACCTAGGGATTGGCGGAGAGCATGTATAGTCCCTTTATATAAAGGGAAAGGGGACAAAAGAGATTGTAAAAAATTATAGAGGAATAAGTTTACTGAATATACCAGGAAAAGTATACGGTAGGGTTATAATTGAAAGAATTAGAGGTAAGACAGAATGTAGAATTGCGGACGAGCAAGGAGGCTTCAGAGTGGGTAGGGGATGTGTAGATCAAGTGTTTACATTGAAACATATATGTGAACAGTATTTAGATAAAGGTAGGGAAGTTTTTATTGCATTTATGGATTTAGAAAAGGCATATGATAGAGTGGATAGAGGAGCAATGTGGCAGATGTTGCAAGTATATGGAATAGGTGGTAAGTTACTAAATGCTGTAAAGAGCTTTTATGAGGATAGTGAGGCTCAGGTTAGGGTGTGTAGAAGAGAGGGAGAATACTTCCCGGTAAAAGTAGGTCTTAGACAGGGATGTGTAATGTCACCATGGTTGTTTAATATATTTATAGATGGGGTTGTAAAAGAAGTAAATGCTAGGGTGTTCGGGAGAGGGGTGGGATTAAATTATGGGGAATCAAATTCAAAATGGGAATTGACACAGTTACTTTTTGCTGATGATACTGTGCTTATGGGAGATTCTAAAGAAAAATTACAAAGGTTAGTGGATGAGTTTGAGAATGTGTGTAAAGGTAGAAAGTTGAAAGTGAACATAGAAAAGAGTAAGGTGATGAGGGTATCAAATGATTTAGATAAAGAAAAATTGGATATCAAATTGGGGAGGAGGAGTATGGAAGAAGTGAATGTTTTCAGATACTTGGGAGTTGACGTGTCAGCGGATGGATTTATGAAGGATGAGGTTAATCATAGAATTGATGAGGGAAAAAAGGTGAGTGGTGCGTTGAGGTATATGTGGAGTCAAAAAACGTTATCTATGGAGGCAAAGAAGGGAATGTATGAAAGTATAGTAGTACCAACACTCTTATATGGATGTGAAGCTTGGGTGGTAAATGCAGCAGCGAGGAGACGGTTGGAGGCAGTGGAGATGTCCTGTCTAAGGGCAATGTGTGGTGTAAATATTATGCAGAAAATTCGGAGTGTGGAAATTAGGAGAAGGTGTGGAGTTAATAAAAGCATTAGTCAGAGGGCAGAAGAGGGGTTGTTGAGGTGGTTTGGTCATTTAGAGAGAATGGATCAAAGTAGAATGACATGGAAAGCATATAAATCTATAGGGGAAGGAAAGAGGGGTAGGGGTCGTCCTCGAAAGGGTTGGAAAGAGGGGGTAAAGGAGGTTTTGTGGGTGAGGGGCTTGGACTTCCAGCAAGCGTGCGTGAGCGTGTTAGATAGGAGTGAATGGAGACGAATGATACTTGGGACCTGACGATCTGTTGGAGTGTGAGCAGGGTAAGATTTAGTGAAGGGATTCAGGGAAACCGGTTATTTTCATATATTCGGACTTGAGTCCTGGAA